CAGGCACACTCGGCCGTTTTAAAGTGAATAGAAGGCCACTGTTTCTCAAGTTGGTAACCTCATGTGAAACTGCTGGATTGCAGCACTTTGAAAAGAGAATGCACTGTGGTTCAGAAAGACGGGAAGTATTGTAAACATCAGAAACAAAAGAGCAGACGAGTGCCAAGCTACTCTGGGTGAAAAAGAAACAGCATTTTTTTTTTTCAATTTTGCATTGTTGGGGGAAAAAAAAGAGTCTAAACTCTCAAAGACGTCACTCATAAATGAGGGTGGGAGTTTTACTCCTTCGGTTTCCGAGAGTCTGTATCTTTCTTGATCTTAAACTTGATTGATGAAATTCCAAGTGAGTCTTGCTTCCCTGGTCCTGCTGTTTCGGGACTTAACAGCTGGATAGGCAGTTCCTTTTTGGGACTTAACAGCTGGATAGGCAGTTCCTATCTCCAAAGAGGATACAGAGACTGAGACAAGGTGGTGGAGTGTAAACAAGAGCTGGCATCTTCCAAGGACTCGGCTGCTAATCAGAACAGAGGTGTATCCCTTTAAACCTTCACGCTTCTTTTCCTTGAGAATTGTAAGGTCTGATTTCAGCATAATCCGTTTGGATGTCCTCCGCAGTTATGTCTGGTTTAGGATTTGGTGTATTGAATGTAAGAGTCGCATAATGGATTTCTTCAGGGTCTCTGGGATCTCTATCAACAGATTCCTTGATGCTTCTTGGTTTGGAGGGCATGCCTCTCACTTCCTGTGCAGCGAGGTCCAAAGCGCTGGGTTCCTGTTTGAAGAGAGCAGTTGAGTGGAAGGACAAACTGCCACCATTACACACAATTTGAAATGTGAGCTAATTTTACCGTCTACCACAAACAAGGTGCAGGTTGGGGTTTTTTTTTTTGTTGTTGTTTTGTTTAGAATAAGCAGAAGCAAAATAAGAATCGGCAGAAAGAGACAACTTTTGCACTCTAAGGAAATCAGTTCTGCAAACTAAAAAAAAGAAGAAGTTTGCTTAAGCTTGTTTTGGAGGTAACCTTTCATATTTAAAAAAAAATCTGCTTGAACTTTCATTCTCTTCCCCTCAAAATTCCATTTTTGAGATTTATCGTCCAGACCTTTAAAAAATACTCTGCATATTGATATTAAAGCATTTTACTGAGGCACAGAAATATAATCATACTTCTTCACCCAGGGGTGGAGAAAAAGAGTTCTCCAGATGTTTCTAAGCTACAACTCTTACTTCCATGGCTAATGGCTGGAGGGGAGGGGAGGGTG